ACAAAGTCATATAAGCAACAGTTATATTAAAAAAATTTTTCATTGGCTACACAGGTCAAAATACTCTGAAAATGAAACCAGAATAACTTGTGAATCAAATCACTGAATTATTTAAGTAAAAATTTTGTTAAAACATTTATTGTCTGTAGAAACAAAATTTACATTGATTTTATATAAACTATGTTAAACATACATATAAACATACCTACATCTTAATATATACTTATGAATGAGGCTCTTGGACATGGGATAACATTGTCAACAGCACCGCTGTGAACTCCAAAGACTACAGACTGAGAATTCTTTCACATTTAACCCCGTCTTCAGTAGTTTACAAATGTTGTGTCTAATGTAATTATTTCTAAGTGCGGACAAAAGGTTTCTAACATGTTTGCATGTGTGCGTACACATGTTAGATGGTCCTTGTTAAACTACAGTATAAATAAGGTCAACATTACTATCTTCAAAGTGGACATTAGTCCACAGCCTCAATCACCAGGAGGGGAGGAAAGAAGTCCTACTATTCTTAAAACAAAACAATGAGGCTTATTTTTATGCCATGAAGACTGTACTATAACAACAATAACAACTGTTTCCACCCTGTCTCTTCCCTCAACAATAAAGACGTAAGAGAAGCCAGTCACAAAATAAAAGCCATCTACTACATTATTTACAGAAAATGAAATATTAAAATGACAACATGAGATTCAGACTTAAGACAAAATTCAGAGTGATGAACAGTGAAGAGAAGAAAACAGTATTGAAGCGGCAGGCAGCACAGAGCTATTAAACCACATGGCTCAATACCTACTCAAAAACCCCTCCAACAACAAAAACCATCAGGCCCTGAAGGAAGGGGCAGGTGCTATGACAAAAGTTTTCTCTGATCTCAACACTGAAAATTTATGCTCACCAAGCTTGAAACAGAATACACTTAAATGTTCATCACTGTCCTTAAGGTCTATTAAGGAGTCAAGTGTCACAAGTAGGCTTTCGAAGATCTTGAAATGGCTTTTATCATTATTATTTTCCTTCATAAGGAGGCTGGAGAACCTCCGTCTTCAAATCCTGCAGCAGTGGAATGACGTCTGTCAAGGGCCAGCAGATTCATTAGGATGCAAGTTTGAAGTCTTTCTTTTAGACAGCCCTCCCGCAGAGAGCTTTGTAGATGGCTGTTCAGATGCTTAAAGAAAGGCAAGAGGCATGTTTCTACACAGCATGGGCAAAGATCCCTTCAGAACTCGAGGAAGTTAGAGATCTCCCTCTATAGACAGTTTTCGAGGGCCGAGAAATCAAGTCTCTCTTATTTTTAATCATCTTCCCCAAGCAACTCACTATCCATTTCCAAGACATGGCAGAAAATTACTTTCTGATGCATAACAAGCATCAGAACCCTGCCTTTGCTAATGACACAAAAGTGTAATCTTGGTTTTTTGTTTTGTTTTTAAAGAAACTAAGCTCATATAAAGAAAATTCAGCATTTTGCCAAGGCCCTGGAAAAGAAGGCAGCAGGTAAACCATTCTGGCAACCAGGAATCAGCTGAATTCTGCTATCCGTTACCTGAGTCGAGAAAGTTATATCCAGGTCTCAAGACCATCTGAATCCATCAGGTAAGGTGATTTTAAAACACTTGAGTAATTATCAGAGTTAAGGCAGGCTTGTAGAAGCCTTGCAATGTGTTGCTTCTTACTAGCCCCAGAATTTTGTTAACCTTGTGAACTCAAGCATCACAAAAGTTTAAAATGAGAATTCTAACCAATCTATGTAGAGATTAAATGGATCGGCAATATAAATGCTAACACCACAAAAACTTACTATTTCAGACACTTAGAAGGAAGACTCTAGTCATATTAAACCCATTGCATTTTTCATAGCAATTAAAAAACAATTTCACTAGTGAACAACTGAGACATGACAGGAGCATGTAACAGTCATTTCAAGTCAACCAAGAGAAAGGCAATTCACATTTGTATTTTCAAAGTATAAAACACAAAGCTAAAACCTCTTAGACAACCACATCTTTAACTTGCCCTTCCAATGCAAATGCAGCGGCAGACTTTACAAGATACTGTTTTGCGTCTGAGGCTTAAACACGTACTTAAAGTGGTTACTTTAACAACTGTTATCAGTCCACGCTCCCATTAGAAACAACACAATGATATTACTTAAGTCTTTGTGCAGCTGTTTTCTACAATGCAGTCACAATACAGAAAGGCACCAAGTTATTCAAGTAAATGGACCCTTCTTCTGCTTAACTGTGCCTTCACAACCCAACCAGTAACCTTAACACATTGTTCTTGACCAAGCATTATATTCCAGTACAACATAACATGTGCTAGAATAAATAGCTGATTTGTTCATGAGTATATAGACACGAGTCTCTAAGTCTCTGGGGCCTACAAGGAAGCTGGGGGGGACTTTCTACAAGGGCCTGTAGTGACAGGACAAGGGGTAATGGGTTTAAATTGAAAGTGGGGAGGTTTAGATTAAATATCAGGAAGAAGTTCTTCCCAGAGAGGGTGGTGAAGCACTAGAGCAGGTTGCCCAGAGATGTTGTGGATGGCCCATCCCTGGGAGTGTTCAAGGCCAGGCTGGATGAGGCTTTGAGCAACTTGGTCTAGTGGAAGGTGTCCCTGCCCATGGCAGGGGGGTTGGAACTGGATGGTCTTTAAGGTCCCTTCCAACCTAAACCATTCTGTGATTCTATGAATATAATTTTAATTCAAAAAGATTAAAATTTACTCAGCAGTGTCTCACACCAGATAACACCACAGAGTAGATGCCTTTAGCACTTAAGACAGAGGCAGAATTCAACTTTTGTACAAATTTTAGAAAACACAAGTTTTATCATGACAGAATCCTAAATTAGTGAAGTAAAGTTATCAGTGAAGAATGTGATTCAAGCAAATGATATTACTTTAAATAAAAGCTAAAGCAACTGAAACAGTGGCTATGTTTCATCATATGACACTCATCTTGGGACCAAGGAGAGGGCAGGCACAAAGTCAGTAAACATGCCCCAAAACCCCTGTTTGTAGTATGCTGCTTACAGCTATAGAAACAAACAGCAAAGCTAAACTGCTAAAAGTACAACACAAGTTAGAGATACCTAGTCATGCACAGGTAATATAAAAAAAGCACAAAATCAGAGGAGCCAGTCACAATTTTAAACCTGGTTAAAGCAGCATTAACTGACTGAAGTCTGACTGCTTCAGCATTATTTCCAAACAGCGTTAGCTAAACTGCTGTGTCAGAAGTTTCTTCATCTATCCACTTTTCGCATTTGCTCAACAAGGAGTCCTCTTCCAGGCTTTAAATAAGACAACTGCAGGAAGCTTACAGAAACAGCAGTATCCCCTTGAATAAGACAATATAGCTTCAGTAGTCTGTTCTATATCATGTATGGCTTCACTTGTTTTTTACCCTGCTCTAGCACATTCAGGAGCAGCGTGAAGAGCTCGGCAGCTTGAGAGTAAGCCTGCCCTCATCTGCAGGGATACACACAGCACTCCACTGCCAAGCGGGCTGCTCAGCTGCAGCTGCTCTGCTTTTGCTTTGGGTTTATTCACTTCACCTGTCATTTCAATTCCCTATTTCTGTCTCAGTAAATCTAGAGGATGATTTTTGCCAGATTCATCGCTGACAGCATAAGAAAATATATTATCTGCAGAAAGTTGCTGGCCTCTGTTTGACCAGGGGATTCTTTTCCTTTAGCTTCCCATCTGATGTATGCATGTCAAAGTTACCGAAAACCCAGCTGAATCATTAATGATGATTATTTAAACTGAAAATTTGGGGTTCAGAAACAAACCATCTGGTGTTATTGTTGAATAATCATAACATCAGTGAGTGTGGCACACTTCCTGCCTGCTTATTCCCTATGAACACTAAGCAGTACACTGCATGAATTGACAATTAAGTGCTACTCTTTTAGCTGTTCCAAGCCATACGTTCAAATAGTCTCTCTACTGAAGGCATGGGGGGGGGTGGGGAGGGGAAAAAAGAGGTTACAAAAAAGCATGCAGAAACCACGTCCTGACTTTCCACCCAAAACCCAGATTTCTTGTTCTCTGAACACACCTCTACCCACTATGAGAATTCTGACCTAGTATCCACAGAGACTAGCCTGCATTCTATATGGCTAACAACGGTCTTGGAAGTGACTGAAATACATCAGCCTGCCTATATTGTGGATGTGGTGAACAACCTTCTTTCTTAAGTAAGAACATGCCTGGAAGCTCCTTGCTATGCATCTTTAATTTACCGGCAATAAAATGCCTGAACAAGTCTGTAATACATACACACAACCCTATCATATATTATGTGTTAAGGCAAAGGCTATAAACAGGAAATAAGCACAATCTTGTTTATAGCTGCTTATAAAACATGTCTGGCTATTGGAGTTTTGCACACAGCATAACAACATTGCAGTACAGTAAACTTGGGAGAATTACTGGGATTTTGAACAAAATTAAAAGCTATCTGCATTTACAGCAGTTTCAATTATGAACAGCTTTGTTAGAAGACATGCTTATAAAAACTTAAGTTTTGTTTTCCTTGTAATTAAATACTTCAGGCCCTAATTTCAGAATCCAGGAAGTCACCAAATCATTTATGACACAAAAGATGAGAGAGCATGTGGCTTTGTCATGAGTGTCATACACCAGAATATAACGAGACAGAATAATTTTGAATACAGACCAACTAATCCTCTAACAAACCCAAGCATGCTTTCAGCGCAGTTAGAAGCTACTGCTACAGTACATTACATACCTGCCCCTTACCATTCATTTTAATCAAATACTGAGAGTTGTCCCAACATTCCAACAATTTACAAATTTATGTACACATCAGAAACCCAAGTATATTAATAAAGTAATACAAAATACTGTTTTACGGAAATGACTGAACAGAGGTGAAAAAAAAAAATCTATTGCACAACCTAAAAGGTCATTACTTGAAAAATCCTGAGCTAATGTGCTATTACCAAACAATTCAGGCACTTTTTTTTTTTTTACTTTTTTTTTTATTACATAAGGAATAAACTTTCAACATATAAACCTCTGGGTATAGCAACTCAAGTTCCATCTGTAACATCATGCTTAGAGAAAAAGTATTCAATAAATAAGTCTCCCTTCAATGACTTCTTTACTTGAGACTGGTACGCAAAAGGAACTGAAGGTACATAGGACAATGTTTCCATTGAATACTGTACTTTAAAGCAATTATTAAAACTGTAAAAAAGTTCTGCAGCATTCCACTACTGAAAAATAAAGTTATTTTTAATCAAGAAAGTTACAGGGTTAGTTTAAGTCTTGACAAAGTTGTCCAAAAATGAACAGATGTTCCCTTTGCTGTGTTATCTGTTTCAGCTTCAGGATCACAGCTCCGTTCAGATTTCTGTGGCAATATTTAAATTTCCCTTCAGAGGGGGGGAAAAAAAAAATTTCATTACTGTCAAGTTGTAACAGTGGAAAAAAGCCTCCCAACTTTCCTAAGTACTGTATTACTCTAGTATGTAACATAGCAGATTCTTTCAATTATGGATTGAAACAGCACAACTGTAAAGACTGTAGCTTAAAGGATGCACAGGCACAATTCTTTCAAGAGGGCGAAATAAAGATGTTCAGACCAGTTTAACAACTCTCCAGGACAAGTTTAATCATTACAACAGGCAAAATATGGGAAACGCTAGAATCTGAGGAACAGTTTTCTTTTTTTTTAGCTAACCAGCAATCAGTGCACCATTAAGAAAACGGCTGCGTCATACTGTGCCGCTTTTAGTCAGGGATTGCTGGTATGAAGCTGTGTTTCTGGATTTACCTTGAGAAAAGTACAGATAAGGTGTCTTTTAGCTGGTGCTGGGGAATGTCTGCACTGAATTCAAGGTCTTTCTCAGCTTCTGATACTGCAGCTGCATTCCCAGCTCTCTCTCACCACAGGCAGTGTGGGGGGGGACACAGCTCAGACAGCTGACCCAAACTGACCCAAGTGGTATTTCACTCCATAGTGTGTCCTGCTCAGTGTATAAGTGGGGAGTGGGTCGGGGGACATTACACGCTTCATTATCGTTTTACTCTTTTGCTAACATCTCTGTTAGCTCCATAGCTTCTTCGCTAACTCCTTTGTTAGCTGCTCTGCTAACTCCTTTGGCTGGCTCGTTGGTGGGTTTGTTTAGTTTTCCAGGTCATGCTGTCGCTGGTAGGGTTCCCTCGGACTCTGCTGCGATCGCTCTCTGGCTCCATCTGTGCACTGGTCAGCAGGCGGTGAGCAATTGTATCCTGGTTTATTTTCTATTATTTTAATTACTTAGTAGTAGTATTTTTACATATATCTTACTCATTTATATTCAATAAGTAGTTATTTCAACTTTTCGAGCTTCCTTGTCTTTTTCCTCTGAGTCTCCCCCTCTGCTGGTGGAAGAGAGGGGAGGTACGAGAGCAGCTTTGTGGTATTTTGCTGGCTGGAGACAAACGAGGATATATACTTAGTCTTCAGGATTTACTTTACTTTAAAACTCAAAGATACTAGAGTTCTTCATTGGGCCTAAAAATCAATATTCTTATTATGCTTGTCTAATTCAAACTGTAATCCGTAGCAGCCAGACTGTGTTAAGCATGTTTTATAGGTTTTATGTGTTTAAGCATGTTTTATGTTTTATAGACAAGAACCTTAATACCCAATTACAGAAGAACATTGGAAGTTCTTGGGGAAAAGCTCACTACAACAAAATTATGGCACTTCTGTGCCCACTTCATAAGGTCATAGTTTTCGGAAAAAAATCCTTCTCCATCTATTTTCCACTAATTCCAATTCAATGTAGCCTTCAGGGAATCACACTTCTCAGAGGCCATGTGCACATAAAAGGGATTCACCAGTGCACTTCAGTAACAAGTGACCCGTTTACCTTGTCCAAAGTGTTTGATTTGCCTTTTTTTTTTTTCTCTTTTACCTTTTTTCCCCACTGGGCTGTAAACTGGAGGTGTTTTGAAAACTGCTCTAAAGAACCTATGCTTCTGTGCCCTAAGAAGGGAACCCTAATCCAACCAGAAATGCTTATGCAAGCATATTTACTCGCAGCTGCACAGGCACAGAATTACCAAACAAACAAGACTTCGCACAGGAACACAACTGCAAGGGGCTGTGTAGGTCATCTAATCCAATTCTCTGATGTCGTGAGTAACCTCATACTACTTTGATCATACTTGATCAGTTCTAATGGAGGATTTAGAATGCTTTAACTGCTGATCCTCACAAAACCTGTAACATTTTATCTGGTTCAAAAGTTCTTCTGCAGTTTGAGATTACTGTTGTCCCATACGTAACTGCAAATCAAAAGGGATCATAAGACAGACGTGCCCATTTCATCTTGAGCTTACCAAACCTTTTTACAGGCATCATAGAGTGTAGGATGTTTTATTCAGAACATCACTCCAGTGTGTACTTTAAAACACATTATTAATGTAAGGTAACGCTGAGAGAAGCACACAGACAGCCAAAATTAATACCCTTCACGTTGATTTAAAACCGCAGCCTAAGAGGACTCGATGTTTTTTCACACAGAAGACCACTTTCTCTTCCTATCAACAGGAGGAGAGATCAACTGAGCTCAAGGAGAGAATACTGAATCAGTGGCAACTGCAGAATCTCAGAGACCACCTCTGATTTGCAAGTTTCCATGGAATAAACATGGAGGAAACAGGGGTGCAGAATCATGTTTGCCTGTAAAGTACAATGAGCCAGTATTCCAGAAAATCCCATCCAAGTTACTCCACGGGAATTTAAACATCGTAAGAGATCATAAGAATATTCATATTTTAAAAATGGCTTAGTGAAAAATAAATTAAGCCAACTTACCTTTTCTTTCCTCAAAAATCCATCTCTGAATTTATTAGTGGTAAATCCCCTTACACCAACAGAACGTAACCGCTGGTACTTAGCCTGAATATATAAACCCTTCTGGACTAAGCCTGATTTATAATGGGATTGCAAACGGCCATCTGCAAAGTTGCTCTGTAAGGGTGGAGGAAGGGAGGGGAAAAAAAAAAGTGCAAAATGAGGGCACCAAAACTCAACAGTTTATATTTACAGCTATACACATGTAAAAAACTTATAGTACTGACTAACACAAGTATGAATTTGCAAGTGCAGAGCCTCTTCCTTTATGCCCCATCTAATATTCCTCAGACCATTAGCTACCACATGGCTCAAAGGACGGCTGTATCCCACTTACTGTGCAGAGCACCTAAAATTATCTTCCTCATAGAAAAAAAACGTGAATGCATTGTACCACATTTTAGCATCTTTTTCAAACTTTAATGAAGGTAAACCAGCATCAACTAAAAAAGTTTAAGACAACATCTCACTGTTGCTAACGAATTCAGTGATGTGGGGCCTGCGGGCTGCACACATGGCAAGTCTAAAGAAAGCCACGCCAACCAGAAATCAGCATATGCATTTTTCTTGTAGTTTTAAGATCTTACAGTCTGAACATATGTTCGTTTCCTCTGCCTTTGTTACTTCCAGACTGGAATACTGTAAATTAACATAGTGTGGGACCAGGAGCAGAGGCCACAGAGATAACAGAAGGCTTATAGGTGAACAGCATTAGAAATACACAGAAAGATCAAGACTGATCCCAGCAGTTACAGTTACACAAAGTATTAATTTCCAAGCACTCCGATCTCCAAAATAGGCAGTAAAAATCTTCAGAGTAAGAAAAAACCTTGTTTATTATAATTTCTTGTAGTTGTTTTCCAGTACTACTGTTCTATGCTTTCCAACACTGTTCCAACAAAAAGCATTCCTGTATATATTCATCCTTTAAATTTAAGGTTTTCCCTCCCCAAAATTTAAACAAGGACATTCCAGCTACAAAAGAGGAAACATCCTGACCATATAAAATTCTTGGCTTTTTTTTTTTTTTTTTTTTTTTTTTACAAGCGCCTTTAGAGGGTAGGAGAGAAAAAAACACATCACAGAAACAGACCTTCTTGAGCATGACCCAGTTACTTGGGTGAAATCAGTTTCCTTTTGACAGACTAAGGATCACTTCAAGAAAAATCACATGCTCTGAGGTTGCAGTAAGTTTGGTACCAGTTTTTCCACTGTGTTTTCCACCATGTGGCTGGTGAACAGCTACGAAAGGACCGCACAGAACAGAGGTTCCTTTACGCAAATGCAAAGGTTTTATTTCCAGAATCATTTCACCCACCTACTGCGTAGATGATCACTGAGAAGCTGGCCCCATCGGTCCCCCCGGCTTACTCCTACAGTGCTCGTAGGCAGAGGACACTTGCAGAAGGCTACTAAATGCTAACCCCTTCCCTGAAAAGCATCCAGGTCCAGGCACAACTAAGTGCAAGTAAAATTCTTAAGGTAGGTATATGCCTTCCATAGGGAAAGCTGAAGGGCATTTTTAATGTGGGAATAAGCCCCTAAACACAGTTATAATTTAAAAGCTCCCGTTTTCTCCACAGCTGCTGTGGTTCTTGGTGGCTAGAAAGGAGGCCTTAGTGATCTGCCACTGCATTGGCATGACAACAAGCAAAGGAGCAGACCAAGAGAGAGGGAAAAAGGGACAAGACACAGGAAAAGAGATTACATACAGCTTAAAAGTTTCAAGTATCCACATGTTCCGTAAGCAGGGGCAGAGGGGAATAGCAATATTCATGTAGAACAGAATCAGCTGCAGACAAGGTTAACAGATTATATATACACATTTGGTATGTAGGCACTGCAGTCACATGTAGTTTATAGCAAAGTGAGGTCATCTAAGGTGTGTGGAAAACATCTTTAACTTCTGGTCTAGAGTAAGGAAAAAATCTGCTAAACTGACATCTAGTTTTACATTAAGACTATTTTACAAATAATGCTAATGACAATGCCTATGAACCAATGGCCTCAGGCTCTGAAATAAGTCTATATGGCCAAATATATACTACAGCACTGGGTCTGGCTGGGATGGAGTTCATTTTCTTCATAGCAGCCCATGATGCCGTGTTCTGGATTTGTGACTAGACCAGCACTGGCGTGCTTCACCAACCCCAGCTCAGCAAAGGGATATTCCTTGCCATATAACCTCCTGCTCAGGAACAGAAACTGAGGCAGAGGGGTTTGGAGGAGGTAGCCATTGCCTGGGGACTGGCTGAGCATCAGTCAGCTTGTGGGAAGTGGTGACTGACTGCCTTTGCATCACTCTTTTCTCTTTCCTTCACTTCTTAAAGCTGTCTTCACCCTATCCCATGAATTCTCATTTTTGCTCTCCATATCTCCCATCTTGCTGGGACAGGAGGGGAGCTGAGGGGAAGAATAGGAAAGCATGGGAAGGAAAAACCCTCTACATTACACAGAGGGCAATTAAATGTAAAAAAAAGTTCATGAAGTTGAATCAGGACTGCTGTTTCCACGGCAGTGATAAACATGCTATACACATATGCAAGCATATGCACTTGTATTCCAGTTATTTCTCCTATGAAGATTAAAGCATCATGGGACAGACCACTGGGTACAGCAATATTCACATATACGTGCGATGACAACTTAAGTGGACACTTTCATGCTTGCATAACCTCCAGCAGAACTACAGGCTGATGTAAGTAAGGGCAGCCTTCCCTCTTCTTTATCAGCTACCAACACTGCCTCAATGCTATGGCAGCCAGTGCTAAAGATCCCTCCATCCCCTATAGGCTGAGAACGCAGAGGGTATACTGATTCATAGAGGCTATGATGTCCTTACACGTTACAGTAGTTGTATCATGCTGCCACTTTAAACTTGTTAACTTCAGCTTGGAAAAACACTTTTTTTTCCAGCAGAATAAAGTTCACATTTTTCACTAGTGTTAGCTTAGCTATCTATGATTGGCAAAGCACACGTAAATGGGAGAGCCTGGAAGCCTTTTTAGCCAACAGTTCTCTTCTGTTTAGTCTGAGGGGGTAGGAAAAGAAAAAAAGCCAACCAACCAAAACCCCACACCTACACTGCCCCTTCCTTTCAGAAGTTCACCCAAAATACCAGCTACTTAATTTGGTTGCCAAAACCTTATTTCACTTTCACTATCTACAAAGCAAGAAAGACTATTACCTATTCTGTGTGTTATTTCACACTTGAAGACACCTGTTAAATGATTAGGGGTAATTTTAAGGTAGAGAATGAATGTAAGTTGTTCTAGATTTGACTAATACTTTTCTAATGTGAAGAGCTCTAACTGGATCCCTGTGTAGCATGCCACTGTCAGCAAAGGAAGAAAGTGTTGTTTG